CAGGCCCAAGGGAGATAAAGTTACTCCGGCCAAAAGAGATGAAGTTACTTCGGCTCGTGAATTGTTAAACTACTTCGGTCCGGGAGCAACTTGAAGTTAGATCGGTCTTCAAGGTACATCGTTCTTGAATTTATACCGGCTTTAGAGGTATACCGGTTTTGGAGTTATACCGGTCAAAGTCGTTGGTTCGGTCCAAGCACACCATGAGTTGAACAAGTGAGAACCGAGATAAGGAAATATAAGCGGAAGGGCCGAATTAAGGATAGTTCGGCTTACTTTGTGGCTCAGCATAGCCAGGTTTATCTCGGTCGGATGATAGTTCGGCTATGGTGAAGACCATCCCACTTGGTTTAAGCAGTGGGGGGTGTAAAAAGATAAGCATTATCTTTTAGGAGCATGAATCCTAGGAGGACTCTGCATGGAGAAATAAAAGTCCTACTAGGATTGGGCCACTCGAAACCTATAAAAGCTCACAAGCATTACCTTGGAAGGAGGTAACATAACACAACATACAATTTTGCTTTCTGAACACATTGAGCTTTGTCTATTTGTCAAGTTTTCTGACTTAGGCATCGGAGAGGTTTCCGGCACACACCCGCCGGCTAGCTTACGTTTGTGTTTTCAGGTGACAAAGCGACGTCGTACGGAGGAGCGTGGACTTAGTCAACAGGATTATACGAGGAGAATTATTTCTTCCCCGTACAAATACTATTATTATATGTATATATTATAGTATAATTACTATAAATGTCTTTTAGACACGATAAGTTACATATAGTATTATTTTATTTTAAATACTTGATTAAAACTATAAAAATATGATTTTTTTTTATCAAGTCTACGAACCCTTAAATTTATGATTTGATGAATCTGACTTCTAAATACATATCTGCACTCGACACCCGTATCCAAATCCATATAACATAGATCAGAGGGACGTATATGTCCCAAGAGGTTAATATTTTCCAGTTCCAAGAGTTAATCTGCTCAGAGATCATTTCATTGTATCAAGGAGATGGTTGAGAATACTAGATGAGCCTGAAAGAGACGGGAAAAAAAAAAGACTTCAGAGACATCTAACGCTTTAGGTAAAACTATCTATATTTTCATTTTCAAAAAATATATATATGTACGGGCATTGAAAATCTGATACTTGATGATGAAATAATTCAATAAATAAAATAATCATATGATTACCATCTATAAGACAAAACGCATCTAGCCGCTAATGGTAGGGGGTCCTCCAACGCATCCTCCAATATTATAAAAATATTTAATGGACAAATTTTACAGAGAAAACAACATATCTCAACCCATTAGGTATAGTCTATTTATAATAACTAGCATGTCGCTTAGCAAGTAGTTTGAGTACTCTATAAATCTTTCTTATAATTTTTTGTTTAAAACTTCTATATCCATAAGACTTTATCTCTTAATAAGTTTTGTACAACGTAAAAATCTAATGTAGTGTTTAATTAGTATTTGTCAATTGTCAATATATGTGATAATTTATAATTGAGTCACGTAACAGTATTGGAACCCACATAATTCTTGTGGTGATTTTTATTCGTTGTCAATATATATATTGAGCCATAGAATTTAGTCATTAACATATTTTTTTATGAACTCCTTAATGCAACTTATTTTTAAGAATTGAGTTAATTTCACTTTTATCCTCAAAATTATCATAATTTTTTTTTTATTTCATCTCTAAATTGTTGACTTCGTCTATTTAGCCCATAAAACTTATGATTTCTCTTCATGTGGTTTAATTGGAGGTTATTGCACAAATCAATAATAATCAATGATAAAAACATAATTTCAAAATTTGAATAATTTAAATTATACAAACAAACGCCTATTAAATTGGTTGTAGGGGTGAAAGTGGATTTTTTCTTTTTTGGGTATGATTTTCTCAAAATTTCAAAAAAAGACCTTCAAAAAAAATCTTAGGCCATATTGCTCTTGCATGCTAACTTTCTTTCAAAATTTAAATGAGTTTTGAGAAAGAGAGGATAGTGTGAAAAATTCAAATAAATGCCTAACACATTTGAAGATTTATTTAAAATACAAATCGTCATGCTTGTAATTATGAAAATTACAAATATTTGCTTGTCATAATTTTTATTTAATAAAATTGAATAAAAATAAAATTTTTAACTACTCCTCTATACAATAATAAGATTACTTGAATTGTTAATTGAAATATATTTATGATATCATTAAAAATTATTAATTGAGTTAACGATTTACTAGTAGGGACTGGACTCTCTCTAATTGGTTATTCCAATTGAATAGTCCAGTCTGGCTCATTTTGGGTCCACCTAATGATCAAAATCATTCAATGTGTAGGGCTCATCAAATACTTTAACTCACAAAAAAATCACATTGATCGGATATTAATAGTACTTGATCAGATCACGTTTGTGTCAATAATTTATTTTTAAAATAATACTTACCGTTGACACAAATATTATCTAATCAAGTAGTTATCGACATTTAATCAATGTGACTTTTTGTATGAATGAAATACTCGATGAACCCTACATATTCAGTGATTTAGATCATCAATGTAGGCTCCGTGATAGGTCCACAAAAGCCCAACAACATGCTCCAATTTGATTTTAGATTGGAGAAAAACTTGAGCCTTACTAGTAAAATGTGTCATTTGTTATATGATTAAAAATTTGAAGGGGTGTGATTAATTTTCAAAAGAATAGTGCTAGAGACCCACAATTTAGATCCCTAAATTTACCCTCAATGATATGGCAAGAGAGGTAGGCCTTACACATTTGAGTATATGACTAATAAAAAATTGGCATGTATCATGCCACATTATTGTGGATCAAATTGTAAGTGATATTTTGTTGGTCTTAAATATTTTCCTTTTCAAAATTACAAGAGAAAAATTATATTTTAAATAAATTTCAAGTAGCGTATTTGTAAAATTTAGGAGAATTTTATTATATACACTCCTACTATGCACCTTCAGTTACAATATTTTCTTCTTCAGATCAAATCATGTTTTATAAGATTCTAAATTTTTTTTTTTTTACTTAAGTTTGCTTGTTGTTCTATACCTTAGAATATAGTATTAAATTACTGCTCGAGGGGAATTCAAGATGTCAATAATCCAAAATACAGTTAGATTCCAATTCACTTTTCAATCTTTTTTTTTTCTGGCCATGTTGCAAACTTGTATCAGCTCACTTTTCAATCTAGATACTTTTCAACAGTAAACATTTTCAATATATTGTAAACCCTGAATGATATTAATTTTATGTATTGTATTTGATCATTGTAGCTTCCACAGATGTTTGTAATGAACTGATGGCATAGTCGTTGATATTATCATGTTGTTGCTGCACTTGCTGCATCAGAAGAAAGCTTCGCAAGATGCTTAACATCACGGTGTCTGTCGTCTTTTTTTTACTCTTTGATTTAAGTTTTGTAATTTGAATTATATTTTTTATAAACCGCCAATCCGCCCGAACCGCCAAAGCAAATCCGTCATTATTTGCCAACCGAACCGCCGGTTTTTGATAAGGAAAATGGCAAATTCTAGTGACACTTTTATCAATCCGCCACCCGCCATACGGTTTCTATTTTTCTCTCAAACCGCACCGACCCGCACGGCGCACACCCCTACCCTCAATGATATGGCAAGAGAGGTAGGCCTTACACATTTGAGTATATGACTAATAAAAAATTGGCATGCATCATGCCACATTATTGTGGATCAAATTATAAGTGATATTTTGTTGGTCTTAAATATTTTCCTTTTCAAACTTACAAGAGAAAAATTATATTTTAAATAAACTTCAAGTGGGGTATTTGTAAAATTTAGGAGAATTTTATTATATATACTCCTACTATGCACCTTCAGTTACAATATTTTTTTCTTCAGTTATGATCAAGTTTGTTTTTTAATTATGATATTATTTTGAAATATTTGGTTATAATTTTTTTATGTTTGGTTATGATTTTTTTTTTTTTTTGCATTTACCAATAAGTCCTATTTTGTGACTTATTACTCATTAAGTCCTATTGATAAATTTAACATGGTAAATTTATTTATAAAAATAAAAGAGAATGATAAATTTATCAATATGACTTAATAGGTAATAAGTTTAAAAAATAAGACATATTGATAATTTGTCTTTTTTTTTTTTTTTAAATTACATAGTTATGCTATTTTTTTTGTATAGTTATAAAGTGCATAGTTGTGTACATAGGCCTATTTTAGAAAAGATTAAAAGTTAATTTTTTAAAAAATAAAAAAATAATCTGTGTGTTTGGTTTGATTTTTTTGGATTAAATTTTTTGAAAACTGAGTTTTCTAATTTTCGTGTTTTTTTTAGGGTATATTTTGAAAATTTAAAATATTTTTTTTTTATATTTTTAGGTGCACCTTACTTAGATGTATCTAAAAAGTAAAAATTTATGAAAAAATATTTTAAAAAATTAATAAATACATAAAAACATAAAAAATATATTGAATTCTCGTATTTTTTTTATTTTATATTTTTGGTATTTAGTGAATTTTTAAAAGATTTTTTTACGATTTTTTTTATTTTTTAGGTATATTTATATTAGATATGTTTAAAAATTAAAAAAATTATTTACAATATTAAAAAAATTCAATAAAAATAAAAAAAATACGAAAAACAAAAAAATAGAATTTTCTAAAAAATATTTTCGAAAAACTCTAACCAAGTAAAGGTGATAAAAAAATCAAAAAAACCAATAAATTGGCTTTTCACCGAGTTGGCAAACGAGGCATAGTGTTTCCCCTGTAATTTATTCAAATGAAAAAGAAAAGCCAATTTTTCAAAAGAAAATAGTTTCCATCTTATAGTTTCACAGTTAAGAAACAAAAAAATAGAATTTTCTAAAAAATATTTTCGAAAAACTCTAACCAAGTAAAGGTGATAAAAAAATCAAAAAAACCAATAAATTGGCTTTTCACCGAGTTGGCAAACGAGGCATAGTGTTTCCCCTGTAATTTATTCAAATGAAAAAGAAAATAGTTTCCATCTTATAGTTTCACAGTTAAGGGCTGGTCCTGGGTTGATGCCGCCTAATTCTCGGCAATGTCGCTAACCGATGTCCGAGATTGAAAATTTAGTTGTATGCTACGCTCTCTTTGTTTTCTTGATTTCTCATTCTCATTCATCCCACCACGTCGATCTTACCCAAACCATCGTGTCCAATCCAACTCCAAATTCAACGTTTCGATCGACCCTCATACGAATTGAATCGCTTCATCATCGCTGGTCAGCTCAGAAACAGACAGAAAGCAGAGCATATAAAAGCACAAATTATTAGGTAATTTAAAATCAATCTTTATATTTGTCTCTAATTCGATCTGTTCTGGTTTGAATTTGAGTTTGAATTTGAATTTTCTTTCACTCCCGTATCAATTTTAATCATACCCATCTGGGAATTGTTTTCCAACTGTCAAATCTCAACATTTTTTTTTAGGTTATTTTTTTCCCCTTTTCCTTATATGCCTAGCTTGTAATTCCATCACCTGATTAATGATAAAAGGGTAAAAAAAAATATTGAGTCTGTTTATGTTGATTGTTCAGATTGAATTTTCTAATACAAAGATCATTTGGGTGGAGAAGATTAGATGATTTATTGGACAAAGGGACATCTGGACTATGTTTTGTGGGTGATCAAAGATTTGATTTTTCCGTGTATATGTTTGTAAATTTGGAGAGATAGAGGTGTTTTTTATTCTTTTGTGTATATATATATAATTTGTTTTCATTGCTTGGGGGTTCTGTGCTTGGCAGTAATTGGTTAGAATCTGAGTGTTCCGTAATCACAAAGTATTGCAAAAGTTGAGTAAATAAAAATTGTGTACATTGTTTGGTCTTTGGAAGCAGGGGAATCCTCGACAAGATTATTGCAATTGTAATTCAAGATTGGTGCTCGGTGGTGTTGCATTTTCATTTTAATGGTTTATAAATTGACTATTTAACTAGTTGAAAGAAGAAAGGGTCTACAAGGGCTAGAGAAGTGATGGATATATAGTTGACTGACATGTGGAGAAGTTCTTGCACTATTGGTCATTTGGCTTGAATTTGAGGGGCATAGAGGAAACAGAAGAGTCTTAAGGCTCAAAGTAGCTGTTTTCATGCAGCTAAACAGTGAGGTGCCTGGTCCTTCGGGTCGGTGGATTCATCACGAACCAAGTTCTGTTGTTTCAAAAGATGAGGTCTTGACAGGGAATAAAGTAAATAACAATATGTCAGTAAACACAGGTGAGGAATTTTCTAGGCAGTTTCTTCAAGATCGTCGTACTCCAACAAAAGTTGCTGCTATTCCAGACACGCCTCAAAATCATGAGCTGAAAGTTGGATTCAATAAAAATCAGAACAGTCATATGGGATATGAGGAAATTACCAGAATTCTTGGTTTGAAGAGGATGGATTCTGAATGTGGTTCTGATATATCAGAGTTTGCTTCTGCAAAAGGGTCTACTGCCGAGGTTGAGAATGGGGCTTACATTGATCTAGTATGTGCATACAACAAGGAAAATAGTGATTGTGGATATGGGCCAAGAAGGGTTACTGGAGAAGTGAACTATGATCCAGCTGCTGTAAGACCAAGTGCTCCACCCATAAATGAGTTGGAATCCTTTCAATCCTCCCAACCTTATGGATTAGTGGTTTTGGATGGTTCTCAATCTGGAAAGATGAAGTTCCTCTGCAGCTTTGGTGGAAAAATCTTGCCTCGGCCAAGTGATGGGAAACTTAGATATGTTGGGGGAGACACTCGTATTATTTCTCTTAGGAAGAATCTTTACCGGGAAGAACTTGTGAAGAAAACCTCAGGAATTTGCAACCAACCTCACACAATCAAGTACCAGCTACCTGGTGAGGACCTTGATGCCCTTATATCTGTGTCCTCGGATGAGGATCTTCAAAATATGATAGAGGAATACCGAGGCCAAGAAAAGCTTGGGGGTTCTCAACGACTCAGGATATTTTTGATTCCTTTGAGTGAATCTGAAAGTACTTGTCCTCTCGATGACAACACTATTATTCGGCAGAGCAATCCTGATTATCAATATGTTGTTGCTGTGAATGGCGTAGTTGACCCCAGCCCACGGAGAAATAGTGAGCAGCTTTTGGCAAGTGATGTGAGTCAGTTAAAAACTAATTTGAAAACTAAGGACATACTTGGTGACTCATATCCTACGCAGTATGTGAATGAATTCCAAAATCTGGTTAGCTCTCCCATTCAATATCCTCCGTTCTCTCCATTGCCAGGTCAGCAGGGAGATTCAAATGGTGTTCATACACAATTATACAAGGATAGCTTATTTTCTGGTAGTACTGAAAGCTGCACCTTGTTCAGCACTGCTCAATTACCACCTGAAAACTCCACCAGTGATGCTGCTAGTTACTATCATCCCACTCATGGGGCAGTAACTTCAATGAACTGTTATGTTCCTAATAAAATTGAGGATATCAGACAGCCAAGTAAACCAGGTGGACTGGAGTTTCACAACCACATTCCCAGCAGAGAATTTGTAGTTCCTCCTAGCTTTGATCGAAATGATACTGATGCTGACAAATACTCTTTTGAGAGGCCAATGCTTAAGGAAAGAACATTTCATTCTGAAAAGCCTGTCTCACACTCTGGAGATCCAATGGGTCTGTTGTCAGGATCTAATGAATCCATTGGTTCTCAGCATAGAATGCCACATGCATTCTCTGATTCACAGCTGAAGGAACATGGGGGAAGGTCTGCTTACTGCTCACAAGAAGGAACGAGCCCATCTTCTCCCTTGAACTTCTCAAAACCACAGTTGTCTTCAGAGGTGGTGTCGGTTGCTTTGCAAGAAAATGCGCTGCAACTGCCTGAGAATATTGATTTGGTCAATCCACAAGTCCAAATTAAGTTACAAAATGTAGAACCTACAGTCTCCCACAGAATAATGGATATTCTAAATTGCTCTTTAGGCTCTGAATCATTGAGCAACTTCGGAATGATTATACTCAAGAGGATGCTGATGACAAATTTCAATCAACAAAGGATGTAAAGAGAAACAACTTCATCATACAAAACCTTAATGAGGAAAATCCTCATAGTTCTGAAATATTGAATGCATCAGATGATAAGGACCCTCTCTTACATTGGGTTGAAAAGCTTTCTAAGAGTAGGCCACCTTCTTTAGCCATGGAATACATGAATAAATCTCCAAGCATCAATTATGACCCAATTTCCATTCTTAGTGTTAATACTCCATCGCAGGAGTTGCAAGTCTCTGGGGGCAATGTTCCTACATCAGCAGGGATTGATTTGGAACATTTTGTGGAAACAATGATGGTACAACCCCAAAGCATCCAACTGGAGAAAGCTCCAGCTGAGCTCAGTTTCAATGGCCAAAGAACTGCCAAAGATCAGCAGCATGTTTTGACTGTGGTCATGGGTGTTGAACACGGAAGTGATACATCGCAGGCCAACAATTTGGAAGTTGCAGGCATGTTTCCAGGCTTCAAGCAACAACCTAGTGATGAAAATTCTCCGAGCGATGTACCGTGGGGTTTGACAGATGTTCTAGTTTGTCATGAATCTTCTGGTGCATGTCAGAACAATATGGGTTTCCAAGAACCCATCCTAGTAAGCTCTGCTGATCTGTGTCTGTCTGCAGTTTGTGACAATGCAGGTATGGATGCAAACTTGCATAATCTTCCTGCAATGCAGAACCCAGCAAAAAAATCTGGTTTTAGGAGAGAAGTATCTCTGATTGATGATGATTTTGTAAATTACACCAATCAGACAGTTGCAAAGTCAGGCATTCTAGGATGCGCTAATGAAAAGCAAACTCTAGAATATGTTTCCCTGAACAATTACAATGAGCAAAATCAGCTGGATTCCATGGTTATTGTGGAACAGGTGGCTGACACTGCATTTCCTGGCGTGGAATTTTCCTCTGCAGCCATACCCCTTGCAGTGGATGCAACTGGTGATGAAATTATATCCTCTGGTGTAAAAGAGCCTGACAGCATACTTCCAGAGTCTGACTATGAGGTAATATTATCTTGCTACTTGATTATTAATTTATATTTTTATGAATTTTTTTTTCTAACTATAGCTGAAGTTAATACCTGGTTCTGTATAGAATGGCAAAGCTGACGATGGAGATAAGGATGAATCTATTAGTGATGCAATGATAGCTGAAATGGAAGCTGATATATATGGTTTGCAGGTTTGCACTACTATTTCAACTACTCATCCCTGTTTTTAATATGTATTTTCTCAGTTATAAGTTTTGGTTATGTCTATACAAAACCATAAAAATTTGCTTTGGTTTTGTCCCAATCCTTCAATAGAAAAAGGACATGAGAGAGAGAGAGTTCTCAGGATAAATATTATTCATTCAGAGGTAATTGTTCGTTTACACAATCCAATATATATAGGTAAATAGTTTCCATAACTAAAAAGAAAAACTAAGCTATAAAATTCTAAAGAAAAAATCTCAGAAATAAAACCTTATTAAATCAAAATTCCTAAGGATACTAAAATTCAATAATTCTTCAATTTATTGTCATCCAATGCCTTTGCGATCCTCATCAGAGAGAGAGAGAGAGACAGAGAGAGAGAATTCTGTTACCATTTTTTTAATCTAGCAGACTATGCGCTTTGTTTGTGGCAGGCTGCTTCATAAACATGAGGATTGCTGTTCAATTTACGAAGCTATGTCCACATTTCAATACTTGCTATTGGTTTCTTCTTACAGTACGATTATGTTAATATGCAAGATAATACATCTAGTGAGATTATCACTTGGTGCTTGCCCCTCCCTAATTTTGATCATTCAACTCTTGAATGAATTTTTCTCTTGTGATGCCCTTATTGACACCATGTGTCATAGGGTTGAACCTAACTTTCCAACACAGAGGATGGAAGCCCCTCCCTAATTTTGATCATTCAACTCTTGAATGAATTTCGCTCTTATGATGCCGTAATTGACACCATGTTTCATAGGGTTGAACCAAGCTTTCCAACACACAAGATGGAAGCAGCTAGTGTCTGCTCAGAACACTGGCCTGAAAGACAAGATTTGTAATTACTGACATTCTTCCTTTTATTTTGTGTACTTCAAGTGTATGTTGTATATTTTCTTGCAGGAGTATATTTGAAACCAATTCAATTGTGATATATGGAATTTTGCCCCTTAGCTAGGAAAGACATTGTGCAGAATCCTGAAAGATGGTTCTTATATGAAACAAATCCAGGCTGATAGCTTTTATTTTGTAGCCTGGCCAATATGTACGCATACCTATGCATACCTAATTATTTTCATCTAAAGACATTGAGAAACTTTGAGCTACAACTATGCATACCTAATTATTTTCTAATGACGCAAAATAAGATTCTAAATTTTCCTCTGCATTTTCTGCTTAGTCATTGAACTACTTGTGACAATATTTACATCCTTCTATGTAAAGTGTATGGTATTGCTTCTCCTTAGCTACTGAAAAATCATTTATCTTGTCTGTGAAAGAGGAAAACAAAGGTTTACAATGATTTGAGCAACCACGCAGTAGCCATTAGTCTTCATGAATTGTGTCACGGCAGACATGATATATGTATATGTATATATTTTGATAAATAAAGAGTAAATTTTATTGTAATAGAAGCATCAAGACGATGCTAAAACAATAATAGCCACATAACTACATCTAAATGTGTAAAGAGTCAATGAAATTGACAATAGCAGATAAATCCGGATTCACTATCCCCGAAACCCAACCAAACAAAACCCCCAGGAACCTATTCTTCAAACAAGGCACCGAAACCTTTAACCCTTGGAAAGTCCAACGATTGCGCCCAACCAAACCAACCACATTAAGCACGAAGGCACTATAGTCCAAGCTTCCGCCGCCTCTTCCTCACCCTACACCCACACTTCCCTGTTGCACTCAATCCAAACCAAACACTGTGAAAATTAAGCCTCAAATTTCAAAAGTCACCGGGCAATGAAGCAAAAGATGCGAAACAAACTTCGCATAATGACAACACATACAATACCAATTGACCAAAATCTAACCATGACAAATCAAATTGTCCAAGGTCAGAACCCGATCACGCACAACCGTCAACACAAAAAAACGCCACCTTTGATGGCACCCCTGCAACCTACACACCCCGCCACGGGAAAGAAACATCTATAAACCCCACTTGAGCACAACAAAAAGACGACACTGAGAAAACCCCTTTCGCCCGTTTGTAGCTCCATAACATACCATCCTCCCCTACCCTAACCTCTCAAAGACCATACAAACAAACCATTAGATCCAACAAATTTTCAACCTCCCAATCAAAAACCGGTCTACGAAGCCTAACATCATCCCACACCATCCGCCCATCTAACAAAGACAAATACGACGCCACCACTACATCTTTATTTGTCATAATCTGAAACATCGGAATACGAGTCACCATAGTTTGATCACCACACCACCAATCCTTCCAGAAATGCACCCGTCCACCCCTAACCATGCCAAACTGAACCCACCTCCAAAACTGCCCCATTATTAGCCAGATATCTTTCCACAAACTCCTTCCATGATTAATCCGCACCTACCCAAAACACCACCCTCCCCACCCAATCCTATATTTTGCCACCACTAATCGACGCTGCAGCCGCTCCGCTTCCCCTACAGACCGCCTTAACCATTTCCCCAACAACACCCTATTAAACACCACTAACTTCCTCAACCACATACCACCACTCTCATTTGGACTACAAACCGTATTCCAGTCCACCAAATGAAATTTAAACACATCCCAACCCAACCCACCCCACCCCAAAGGAAATCTCGCTGCAACTTCTTTATCCGCTGGGCCATCGATATCGAAATAACATGCACCGACATGAAATACGTAGATATACTACCTAATGTGCTCTTGATCAAAGTCAACTTCCCTCTCTTAGACAAATATTGTCGCGTCCACCCTGCCAGCTGTGTTTGAACCCGCTCCACCACTCCATCCCAAGTATGTCACTGATAGAGAAGACACACCTTGCACCCCAATGTATAGCATATGATTTTCTTGTCCTGCAGAAATTCAACTTGATTTAATTAATTATAGTTAGACAGAGGTTGCACCTATTTGAGGGTCTTCACATGAACACCCTGTGAATTTTTTATTTTTATTTATTTATTTATTTTCCATATATGTAACGTATGTTTTGATTTATTATTTGTCACTTGTTACCCCTGAATTTTTTATTTTTTATTTTTATTTTTTTTGAGCACCTTGGGCTGCTGAGATTGCCATTTGTCATCCTTGAAAAAAGATTTTGAACACCTTAGGAAGATTGCATTGTCATTTGTCTCCCATAATTTTTTTCTTTTTCTTTTATAAATGTTTTGGGCTGACTGGATTGTCATTTGAGATTTTGGATCATCTAATTTTTTAATAGATCTTTGGCAAAATTTAACCTAAGGCTCCCTTCAGATTATGGATTTGACATCAATAATTTGAGGAGTATAGCCTTTAAGTCAATGTAATATTTTAGATTTAGATATCAAGAATAGATTTGAGACCTTTATAATAATGGATTTCAAATCACTCTGTAAAAGTTCCACTTGAACAAGGATTTTAACAAAATACATGAAACATAACTCGAAAGGCTTCCTTTAGATTATGGGTTTGAAATGAACGGATTTGGCATCAATAATTTGAGGAGTGCCTTTACGTCAATGTAATATTTTAGATTTAGATATCAAGAATAGATTTGAGAGCTTTATAATGATGAATTTCAAGTAACTCTGTAAAAATAGTTATTTGAAATCCTTCTAAAGATTCTACTTGTACAAGGATCTTAACAAATACATGAAACATACCTTCAACTTATCATCTTCTTTCAATAACTAATCTTCTTATAATTTCATAAAATTCAAACTCAAATCCCTCCATTTGAAATCCACTCATCTAAAGAGAGCCTTTTCTCTAACCCATGTAAGACAATGGTAATCTATTTTTCAATATTATACAATGGAGCACTTGTAGCGTGTATCTATATTTTTTTGTCAAAACAATAGTATCAATATATTAAAATTCTCTTTTATTTATGAATTGAGAAGTTTTTAAATTAGTAGATTTATTAGAAATAGATGACACATATTGATGAGATCTACCTCAAAACAAAAAAAGAGAAGGTTTTTTGATTTGCTTTTTCATTTGTAGTAAAAATTTTCCAGTATTCTTCAATTTGAACAAAAACTATGAAAATATCTACTGAAAATGAAAAAAAAAAGCTTTAAAAGCTATTTTCTTAATTAAATTAACTTTTTTCATCTTTAATAAATTTTTATCAATTTTCTTCATAAAAAAATTGATGAAAAAAGATTAAAATTTACGAAAGATGGAAAAAAACCAAATAAAAAATTGCTTTCAACAATAATAAATGTCAATCCTTCCAAAATTATGAAGCTGCACTCTAGTTAGATGTCATCTAGTAAATGTCGTGTCCTTTTTCTTTAACTAGGAGTAGCATTCTTATGAACGTTATGCATCAAGCTGGGGATAAATCCAGATTTAATGAGGCGTAGCAGTAGTTTTTGATACGAGTGTTGGTAGAGCTTCCTTTAGAACTGCCATTACTCGAGAGTGGGAGCTTTGCCGAATATAGAAACTAAGGTGTTTGTTCTTACTTTTTCAGTCTTTCATAACACCTAGGTACCCCTTCCCCTTTTGGTTTTTTAGTTTCATTCTTCACAACTGCCAGTTCTTACCCCTTAACCTTGCTTCAATGTTCAATTTTCATTTCAATGCATAGCATTTTTGTATTAACAAACAGATACTTGTCCATTTATGCGTAATCTAGACCATAGTTGTCAAATAATGAATCGAATCATGAATTGAAATGGCCTTGTACCGAATCACAAATCGAATCAAATCGTGAATCGTAAAGATTCGGTCACTTTTTCTAAATTACTTAAAAAAATATATCTACACAATTGGATGTTAAATATAACTTATAAATAAAAAATATTTAGATTTAAATCAATAAAAATGTTGTTTTGAATAATGATTATGTGGTCTAGGTAAGAAGTTAACACAGGTTCCCATGTAAAATCACCATCTTATCTTCTCTTTTTTAGGTATTGCATATCAATCATTCTTAATAAAAAAGTAAATAAAGACAAACTCTCAATTTCTAAGTAATAATAACTTAACATAGATGTTGATATTTCATAAGCATACATACATTTACAAGTAACACTGACCCAATAATAAAAAAGAATTAATTGTAATATTTTATTTTAAAACCTAAAGTATTTTAAAAGGTATATATGCTTATTGTTTAAAAAAGTATTTTAAAAAAAAAAAAACTCACAGAACCATTAGGTTTAACTAACCTCACCCATGTAATATTGAAGTATATTTATTTCAATAAAATAGTAGTAGATAATTCATATTGCAAGTTGCTTTAACCTAAAACATTTTTAGAGAATACATTATGATTTCTTTTAAGAAAAAAAAAATGAGAAGAAAAGGTTAAAAACATATTGAGTCTAACGAAATCTGATTGGATCCTATTGAAAACTCGTTGATCTCCAAAATAACAGCAAATCATGTATATTTTATCCAAAAAAAAAGTCTTAAGGTCGGTCAAAAATGGGGTGTCTACAGCATGCGTACTTGGTTTCCACCCGAAGAACATCCATTGTTTGCCCTTGAAAGCCTCTGTTTGCACAACCTCTATTCTGTTTCCTTCTCCAGATTAACTTTGCCATACTTCACAAGCACTCTGCCCAAAAAAATCAGTAGTGGCCGGCAGACCACCACTGAGGATTGTCGTCCAACACTAGGGGGTTGCCGACCATTAGTAATGGCTGGTAGGCCACTGATGAGACACCATTTTTGTTGCAACAAAGAGAACAAATAGAGCAAAGAGGGGGTGGTCTCATAGGTTGTTTGTACCATGTATCACCCCTTATAATCAACACAAGCTCAAAGGAGTGATGCAATTTGCCCTTAAACCATCAATCAAGCAATTTCCATGCATGATGGCTATGGGACCAATATCTAC